TGAAAGAGTGGGGGAATAGGGGATACAGGGAGGGAGAGGAGTGTGATGAGGAGAGAGGAGGGAATGTGGGACAGAAAGGGAGACACGTTGGGGAATGCGGCTGAGAGAAAGAGGAAGAGAGGGAATGTGGGACAGTGAGGGAGAGGGGGAATGTGGCATTGTGGGAAAAGGAATGCAGGAGGGAACATGTGTGTGAGAAATTGGGAGACAGAGGGAAGTGGGGAATATGGGAGAGGGAGAGAATATGGGAAAGGAAAGTGGGGAGGGAAATTTGGGAGAGGGAGGGAGGGCGAAGACAGAAAAAGATGGGGAAATTTGGGAGAGAGTAAGAGGAGGGGAATGTACAAAAGCACTGGAGATATGGAGGGGGGAACATGGGAGGGGAGGGAATATAATGTGTAGGGGAGGGAGTATAATGTGTGCAAGAGGGAGAGAGACTAGGATAGAGGGACAGAATGTGGGAGAGAGATGGGTATGGAATGTGTGAAAGAGAGATTAGGACAGAATGTGGACAAGAGGAAGGGAATGTGGGCGAGATGGAGGGTTGGGAGAAAGAAAGAAAGAGTTGAGGGTAAGGGTGCGGGAATGTGGGGGAGAGAGAGGGAGCTGTGGGAGGGAGGGAGAGAAGGGAATGTGGGAGACAGAGAGAGTAGAAATTGTCAGAGAGCGAAGGCAGCGGGATAGAGAGACGGCTTAGATAAGAGCGATGGAGGGGGAATGTGGGAGAGAGCGTGAAAGAGGGAGATGTGGGAGAAATGAGAGAAAGGGAGGATTTTAGAGATGGGGGTTGTGTGGGTGGGGACAGAGAGATATGGGGGTTGTGGAAGAGATGAGCGATGGGAGGTGTGGGGCGGCAAGAGAGAGAAATGGGGAGGAGGGTGGGGGATATGGGGGAAGAGAGGGAGGTGGGACGTGAGACAGATGAGAGGAAATGGGTGAGAGAGCAAAAGAGGGGGTGGTCAGAGAGAGAAATGTGGGAGACAGGTTCGATAGGTATGCCATGGCACCAGGTGTGTGTATTATTGCTGAACAGAGGACACGTTGCTGAGATTTTTCATCTTGCACTCATCGGGGCTGATGCGAGAATACCAAATTACAAACAATCACAACAACTTATACTTTAAGGATAAAGACTGCTAAGTGGATGACGAGTCAACTCTGATTGGCCAACTCATTGCTACAGAGAAGCTAACAGGGAACAACTTCTGGCCCAGCTGCCCAAGCTCCCAGGTAATTCAAAAATGGTGCAAAATTTGAATATATTACTGGTGTGATGCCAGGTAGATTGACCATATCACCCAGTTGGTATACTGAGTTAGTTGTCCGTAATTGGCAGAATACAGACGGTACAGTACAAACTATATCAGCCTGGCTTATAAAATCCAAAATAACACCATTTCTGTTAGATGTGATTCTGCAATTAGACAGCACTTGCTGAATAATCCAGTGTGGTAATAGCTACACTAACAATCAACTTAACATGATCAATCGAGTTCTGAATATTGACTTATTTAAGCTTGCTAGAAATGACATTCATTTATACATCAAGGCCAATCCTCTGCAAACTAAAGGAATATGATTGAAGCCTTACACATTTTTCGAATTAGCCAGGACCTTGGGAAATTTATCTTCCCTTTTGCTTTCTCCATAACAATGCACTTGTCAATCATATTCTACAGCATCTTTTTCCCCTGCAGTATAAATTGTGATTACTTGAAATTTGGGATTCTTGTGACTGTCCTGATGAGTGCAGGATGAAAACTTCAGCAATATGCCTGTTTTCAACATTATTCCTCTATTTATAAAGAACAGCATGTTTACATAATACCCTTCATGACCACAGGATGTCTCAAAGCACCTTACAGCTAATGAGATACTTTTAAGTGCAATTACTGTTGTAACATAGGAAACTATGCAGGCAATTTGCGTACAAGTTCCCACAAATAACTATTTGATAAGGGCCAAATGTTCATTGAACTTGATTGAGGGGTGAGTATTGGCAGGGATATGAGGGAGAATTGCCCTGCTGTTCAAAATATGCCATTGGATCTTTTGTGCCCACCTTTGAATTGCTTGTTTAAACCCTCCCCAACAGCACAAGTAAATGATCATAGAAACCTCATAGAATCCCTACAGTCTGGAAACAGGCCATTCGGCCCAACAAGTCCACACTGCCCCTCTGAAGAGCATCCCACCCAGACCCATCCCCTACCCTTTCCATGTAACCCTACATTTCCTATAGCTAATCCACCTAACTTGGCAATTTAGCATGGCCAATCCACCTAAGCTGCACATCTTTGGACTGTGGGAGGAAACCGGAGCACCCGGTGGGGAACCACGCAGACACAGAGAGAATGTGCAAACTCCACACAGACAGTTGCCTGAGGGTGCGAATCAAACCTGGGTCCCTGGCACTGTGAGGCAGCAGTGCTAACCACTACACCACTGTGCCACCCCAATTATCCCACAAGGAATAAGGCAGTATTTAGGAACAAAGATGTAACATTTGAGAGGAATACCAAGGTGCACAAAACACTAGGAGATACACTAGAGTAAGAAATCCTAAGGTGTTGAGAGTAAAGGAGATGTAATAAAGTTTAAACTGGAGTCAGTATGTACATGTGTGAGCGTACAGAGTGCATTTCAATAAGACTGGTGAGTTACAGGAGCAGAATGCTATTGGGAAAGGTGTTGTGGCTTAACAGACTCAGCTCGACCCAAGGGTAGGACTGCACAGTAAGTGTTCTTGAATATAAAGTGTTTAGGAATGCAAGGAAAGCAGAGAGGGATGACAATGTTGATTAAGGAGAACATTGCTGTGCTGAAGAGAGGGGGAGGACATCCCAGAGGGGTTAGGAGTAGAATCTAATCATCTGAAGCTAAGGAACAAAAACAAAAGAGTGCAATTACATTGTCTAGTGTAATCCAAAAGGGAGTGCAAGAGCAGAGGATCCTAGGTGTATATATGCACAAATTATTGAAGGTGGTAGGGCAAGTGGAAAGTGTGCTTAATAATACATACATCATCCTGAGCTTTATTAATACAAACATGTCACCTCATGTCACCAACTTCTTCCTGTAGGCCTGCATTTTCTTCCTTTTTATATCATTACCCAGTTCCTTCTTAAATGTCTGAATTGAATCTGCCTTGGCCACACTCTCAAGCAGTGCATCCAAATCCCAAATACTTGTGTGAAAATGTTTTTCCTCATGTTGCCATTGCTTCTTTTACTAACTGCTTTAAGTCTGTTGCTGATTGTTCTTGATCCTCCATCATTGGAAATATTTACTCTGTCAAAGTCCGTTATGATTTTAAAATCCTCCATCAAATTTCCTCTCAACATTCTGTTATAGAGTCAAAGAGTATACAGCATGGAAACAGGCATTTCGGCCCAACTCATCCATGCCAACCAGGTTTCCTAAACTGAACTAGTCCCATTTACCTGCATTTAAACCATATCCCTCAAGAAAAGCAGCCCCAGCTCCTCCAATTAATCTAATTTACTGAAGTTTCTTGTTGGTGTGCTTCATTAATCTTTTATATACACTCTAGGAAGGATATGGAAGTGTTATAAAGTGTGGCATCCAGAGCTGGATGTAGTTCTCCAGTTGAGGCTGAATATAGAGGTATACAATGAGAAACTTCAGTAAACAAAACATCAAGAACGAAAAAGAAATGTAAAGACAACATGGAAATAATTATATTTCATGATTCCAGGATTGTCAAATAGCCATTGAAGTGCTGGTGAAGTTTATTCACTAGTTTAACAGAAGAAGTGAGAGCACAGTTGTGCTGGTGCTTTAAATGCAGCACTTGCAGAGACCTGTTAAGAGCTACTGGATGGCCTATTGTACAGTACAGGACATGAGACCCAGGGTCTCGATACATAGTGCAGATGGTAATCCATTCATTACCAATCCATGCCTGTGGCTTTTTTAAAAATTCATTTGAGAGATGTGGGCGTTGCTGGCTGACCAGCATTTATTGCCCGTCCCTAGTTGCCCTTGAGAAACTGATGGTGAGCTGCCTTCTTGAACCGCTGCAGTCCACCTGCTGTTGGTTGATCCACAATCCCATTAGGGAAGGAATTCCAGGATTTTGACCCAGTGAGTGAAGGAATGGCTATACATTTCCAAGCCAGGATGGAGAGTGGCTCAGAGGGGAACTTGAGGGTGCTGGTGTTCCCGTATTATCTGCTGCCCTTGTCCTTCTAGATGGTTTGGAAGGTGCTATCTGAGAGGATCTTAGGTGAATTTCTGCAATGCATCTTGTAGATAGAACACACTGCTGCTACTGAGCATCGGTGGTGACGGGAGTGGATGCAATGCCATTCAAGCGGGCTGCTTCATCCTGGATGTTGTCAAGCTTCTTGCCTGTTGTTGAAGCTGCACCCATCCAGGCAAATGGGGAGTATTCCAATACACTCCTGACTTGTGCCTTGTAGATGCTGCACAGGCTTTGAGGAGTCAGGAGGTAGGTCACTTGCCACATTATTCCTAGCTTCTGACCTGCACATAAATGCAGTGGCTACAAGAGGCGAGTCCAGTTGAGTTTCTGGTGAATGGTAACCCCCAGGATGTTGATAGTGGGGGAATCAGTGATGGTAATACCATTGAATGCCGAGGGGTGGTGGTTAGATTGTCTCTTATTCGTAACGTCACTTGCCACTTGTCAGCCCAAGCCTGGATATTGTCCAGATCTTGTTGCATTTCAACATGGACTGCTTCAGTATCTGAGGACTCACGAATGGTGCTGAACATTATTGTGACGTCACATTTAACCAGGAGTCCAAGACTGAAAGACAGAAGGAATAACACACACCAGTTTCATTGCTCTGAAACCTGTCTTGGCACTGTGGCATGTACATGAGAGGCTATTTCAATCTGGCAATTGAAATATCAACAGACTGCACACAGCCTTATAAAAATCTATAGATGTTGAATATCCCCGTGCACAAGGTTTGATCTTTCAGCTCTGGGTCTAAATCAGACACGTGACAAACTGAATATGCATATTTTATTAAATATTTCATGCTAAATATTTACAAGTAGATTTAAAATACATAAAAGTTTTAAAAATAATGAGGAAAATAAAATCTATGCCTGGAGATAGGAGAAAGTGTGGAGAGCTTCATTTTATCAATGGGTCTGTATATAGCTGTGAGATGCTGAAGATCTCAGTTGCATGTACTGAGCAACAGGCTCACACAGGAGCAGACAGCACCAATAACACTAACAGCTGGTAGTAACAGTCGGTCCATAGCCCTCATTTGAGCACACAGACTAAGGAATGTCTCTATTTCCTAACACTGCGACTGATTTCACTAGTACAGCAGTGCTGAGCAAAAAGGTTTGATTTTGTAGGTGGCATAGTTATTGCACTGTAGTAAATGGACAGACGCCACACACCAAAAGCATAGTTATGGTTGTAAACTCCAAGTGATCTGGGAAACTGCACATTTCTTTTGGTTTTGCTACCTAACCACTGCAAATACTATCATCATGAAGTCACGTGCAATCTGATTACAAGAAGTGTGGAAATCTTGGGGACTCCAGTAATAATTTGGCAAAATGGAAAGGACAGACACGTAGTGTTTGGGAAAGAGGATCAAGGGACTCAGACAGTTTATGGGAAATAGGATCGGGGGCAGTCAACATGTAGTGTTTGAGGAATATGATCGAGGGGGTCAGACAGCATATGGGGAAGAGGATCAAGGGGGTCAGCTGTGTAGTGTTTGAAGAATAGGATCGAGAGGGTCAGACAGACAGTGTTTGGGGAATAGGATCAAGATGGCTAGACAGAGTGTATTTGGGGAATGGGATTAAGAGGGTTATATTGCAAATTGATAGTGTTTGAGCGGGTATTTGGAAAGAGCCAATGGGAAGTGGGTCCTCCTGGTTTATTGTTACAGTCTAGTAACATAGTTGAAAAGGGAGTCATTAATCTGGATGTCAGCAGGGTGAAATGACAACTTTTACTGATGATTTTGTTTTAGGAGAACTTACTGACCCCTGATGACTCCAGCACAAGTCCATACTGTCTTTGGATTTTTGACTTTGGCAGACCCCTATAAGTGGAAGCACTGCAGTAACAGTATTTACTGCAGCATCACAATGCTTTTAGCTGTTGACATCTGATCTGTGTCAAAAAGCAATGGCAAACCCCAAGTTGTTAACAATGAGACAGCAACCAGCAACGTTCACCTGGCAACATTTCCTATGCTGCTTTTGAATAAAAAGTGTGGTGTAAGGGCCACAGTCTATGCAAACCTGGAACTCAAGATGACTGAGCACTTCCAACAAAGCAACACCTTGACTGATAAGGTAAGCTGAGGAGTTCGCTGTCTGACAGTGAAGCACCATCAATTTACGTAGTGGCTGTTCCTAGTTGTGCAACTTCCGGCTTATTGCATTTTTCTTTGGTTCAGCATTTTACTGCTGGCTAAAAGTCATTTAGCGAGTGTCCGTGACTAAATTCAGTTTTCAGGAGACATAGGGTAGTGGGAGGAATGAGATGGTACAGTAGTTCATTTTGCTGATCAATGGCCTGATGAAAGCTGGCTGCAGGTTACCTTTCCCTAGGTGATACTGAAACAGCCCTCTGATCCAGGATAATTCAGGGCCTCAGTTAAACAACGGCAGAGACCAGCATCATGACTCCAATCCCACAGCAGAGCAACAACACCTGATACACAGAATTCCTGCAAAATAAATCAAAGATCAAAACTGCAGTGAGTGCAAAGAGAATCTATCAGGTACAAATGTAGTGTCACAATTCCCTACCTGTCAGAATTCCATTTCTTTCTTCACAATCATTGACTGCTTTGGGAGCTGATGCGTGGAAATCATTTGCCCAAAACAAGGTTAGCAGATCTCAGGACAGGGGCTACATCTCAGTTTATTTTAATACAGAGGAGGTTCTATAGCCAAGCTTGCAGGCAAGGCACATACAACACAGATTAGATTATCCAGATTAATACCCCAGGGGTCAGGAAAACCATGATCAAAGCAAACTCCATGACTAGGCCTACATAGCTGTGACTACATTTCAAAGGTAGAATACAGTACACGTGAAGCACTTTGGGATATCCAGAGGATAAGGAGCTACATGAATCTAAGTCTTAATCCGATGATTCTTCACAAATTCACAAAGAAGCCAACGTACTTGGACTCACTAAAGGTCAATTTAGGATTCTCAAACATTCCAAATCCCTCCCTTTAGAAGTGCAAAACAATGTAAATACATTCAACAACAACATAAAAAAAGGCTGATGACACTTATGTATACAGATAAATAGAAAGCAAATCTTGCCAAAATTCATAGAAAAGAAATTATGCTTAGGGTGGGAAATGCTATATCAGGACCAATTATGTTATGAGCAGATCAAACCCAGCACAGATACAGCATGGTGTTAGATACAGAATAAAGCTCCCTCCATACTGTTCCCACCAAACTCTTTCAGGACAGATACAGCATGGGGTTAGATACAGAGTAAAGTTCGTTCTACTCTATCCCCAAACACTCCCAGGGCAGAGACAGTATCATTGTATAGAGAAAAGACAGTCCTCACACTGACATAACACATTCATGACAACAGGTTCCCAAAGCATTCGAAAGCTAATGAAGCATTTCTGAAATGTAGACTCTGTTATGGAAAAATATAGTAGCCAGTCCTCTAAAACAGCAGTGAGTACTAAACAGATACTTTCCCATAATGATGTTTGCTGTGGCCAGGACACTTGAGCAACATATATTGAATCTAAAGCAAATGCAAAATTCTCCAGGTTCTGGCAATCTGAAGTAAATACAAAAAGTGATGGAAATAATCAGCACATCTGCCAATAGGGGTGCACAGAGTTAACCCTTCATTACAACAGTTCTAACAATAAGATCATCAACCTGAATTACTGACTCTATTCCTCTCTCAACAGATACTGACTGAACTGTGGAACATTTCCAGCATGTCTCTTTTTGTAACTCACCCCCAACCTTTGAAGAGTACACCTTAGCGAATCACATTTACATCGTCCCACTTTCACACCTGATCCCTAGAATTACCAGTACTGAAACTTGGGTGTGACTTCAAAACATACAACATCAACATCTCTGAATTAAAAATGATCAACAGAATTTCATAGCCAATGTTTTACACAGAGAGCTGCATAGAAATAGGAGGGTGGTGGAGAGGCTGAAAATGAAGTATTGCTGCTTGTTTCTGAATACCCCCCCATTCTATATGGAGTTTGACCAGAAGAACAGGAAGACACCTTATCTGTTGCTTACTTGGATCTTCAAACAATATTCTTCATCCTTTCATGCCAGACAACTGCTGGATGGATATTGCCTATAAATACACACCTCTGTGCATTCTTTGATTGCGGTTTCATATGAATCCATTTTGACCTGCAGTCTAGGAGCCTAATTTTGTCTCTATGCAGTGAGTTTATTGCTTGCTAGACCTGTCCTCAGAGGTGGGTCTCTGACGAATCTACAAAGTGCAATAAAGAGGCAACAGAAACACGTGGGACACACCGAGTCAGGTTTGAAGACATCTCTACCTGACACAGAGGAAACAGTAAATGGTGTAGGAGCGGTTCTTGGGGACTTAGTCAGCACTGCCTGTTCCCTGCAAAGCAACCAATCTACTGGACACTGAAGCCCACATTCCCACTCGATATACCCATACCCTCATCCATCCCAAAGCAAAACCAATCTGCTTCAGCCCATTCCTCCAGTACGTGGAGTTCAAGAATTCAGCTTTGCCACGAGGCCAGGATAGTTGAATGCTGTCCTCTGTGTCAGCATTATGGAGTCAGAGTATAAAACTGCTTCATGATAGTCAAATATACACAGAAGTCTACAATCTACATTAAAACTCTTCACATCTATATTTCTACATGCACTATATTCAACCTGGCAAATTTATCTCTCAGTTTCATCACTTTCAGCCCCTCAGCCTGACCTGCAGAGAATCTCCTGTGCTTCAGCCAATTCGATTGTTTTGTTACTCAAACTGCCACAAGGTTTGTCCAACCACAACAGAGTGATATACAAGTGTCTGCTATAACCTACGGTCATGAAGATGACAAATATGAGTTTAACCATTGTAAGTGACTGTGGGTTGCTTCAAGTTATTAACAGTAATTAAGTATCTCAACAATTATCTCAGACACAGTTTGTAGAAGTACACATTCCAGGTGTGGTTCCAGTACCACTACAAAATTGCCTTGCTGCTGAGGCAGTAGCTTGGCAAAAATGCATGGTCACTATTAACATCATGCATGAAAATCACTAAGCTCATTTCATTTTCTGATAGAAAGGAAGAACTAAATTTGACTTTATCCTCTGCCCAACATTTCCAGAATCTATTCAGAATGGTTCCTTACCACACATCCTTTTCCTGAAGGAGGTCAGGTACCACAGAAACCAGAGCAATGTACAGAAATCCACCTGAAGTAAATGGGAGAATCCAAGCTACACTGTCCCCTGAAAGATTTCAGAGTTAGACACATTAGAATTATTGGGATATGCTGTTGATCCATTGACCACAACTTAGAATTCAACATGTTAGTGAATATACATAGATATTTTTACCAAACTGTTCAGAGATGGAATTACACATATCTGCAGTGGTTGGGAATTGAACGCAGGCATCAGAGATATGGACACTACCAGGACACCACAAAAAGCCTGTAACCACATGCAAGTGTCCAAAAAGGCAGGGGCAGGCAGCAATCAACTTTGTGAGGAGGGGAGAAAAAGCGGGGGGGAGAAAAAGCCGGGGGAAGGGGGAGAAGCCGAGAGGGAACGGACAGGAGGGAGGAAGCTGAGAGAGAACAGACGGGAGGGACAGAGGGGGAAGGGTTAGGGAGGTCAGTGAGGAGTGGTTGGGTGTGAGTATGTGGTGATTCAGAGGGCAAAGTGTGAATGGGGATACAGAAGGGAAGAGGGTAAACACGGTGTGGCAGGCCTGAAAGTGTACGCAGGCAATAAAGACCACTGCACAACAAAGAGAGTGTGCCTGAGAGAGAGAGAACCTAGAGGGATGGGGAATGGAGAGAACCCTGACGAACTGGAGATGGAGATTAGAGGAGAGGACCCATAATTAAGTGGGTGTGAGGGGAGAAGGGAAGAGAACCCAGTGAGAGGGGGCAGGGGAAACACAGAAGTACCCAATGTGAGAGGATACAGAATAATGACAGAATCCGAGAGAAAAGCGGGATATGGGGTGAATGGGGAGAGAACCCAGAGGCAGTATTTGAGGGTCAGGAAAAAAGATCCAGTGAGACGGTGTGCAGGCAGTGAAGAGATCTTGGAGGGGGCAGGTTGGCTGGGAACCGAGTTTGAGATTGATCTTGAGATGGATTGGGGTGAAGGAGACAGAAAGGGAGGTGGCAGGTAAAAGATCTGTTGACTGGGAAAACAGTGAGGTAGAAACACAGACAGGATGTTTGCAAGCAATCAGAGATGGGATGGTGAGAAATAGAGAGAGAGAAAACAGGAAAAGTGAGGGTGGGCATGGAGTGAGAGAGGGAGAGAGAGATAAAAAGGGAAGAATACACCTTGGTGTTAGGCCTGTTTAAAGACTCCAACAAAAACAGAAGTATTCAGACTCTGCCTCCCCCTCCCTCCAACAATACTGTCAATTCCTGTTACATTCAGAAAATTAAACAGTACCTGCTCCTTCTGGAGACTCTGCACACATGGCAAAGCAGGCCCCCAAAACTCCTCCAAATGCAGTAGTCAACTGCATTTTTGCTGCACTCCATCGATCAAAGCCTGCCCTGAGCAGGATGGCAAAGTCTCCAACCTGTGGATTAAACAATGAAACAGTTATGTCAGGTCTACCTGTAGCCATTTTTAACAGAGGGAAGCAGAATTCTGGCTCCAAATCTTTACTGGCAGAATTCATCTGTGGTCAAAGTAATGCAGCACAAGGAAACTACTGACAGGTGGTTCCTGCGAATGTAAAGGAATACCTATTGTAAAAATGTTTCCAGGTGAAGCAGCAACTTACATGTACTTCTTTTAAAGTAGTTTACTGTATTCATTGTAATGTTATGGCTTGCATCTTCAACCTCCAGTTCAAAATGACTGGATTAGACAAGACAGCTGAAGATGAAGGTCAGCGGGGGTATTTTTTTACATTCCATCATGGAACGTGGGCTTCATTGTCAAGTTCATCACTTGTTGCCCATCCTATTTGCCCCTATGAAGGTGATGGTGAACCTCATAATTCAACAGCTAATATCATCAATAACTGTGGAGCCCAGCACATCACAGTGCAAAAGACAAGTCTGAAGCAGTTGTCAGTCAGGAAGTGCCAAGTGCATGATCCATCTCAAGTTCTTCCTGAAGTCCCCAATACAGCTGCCAGTCTTCAAACAATGCAATTCACTCCACTTGTTGTCAAGAAAACACTAGGTATTGCAAATGTTGTGGGCCCAGAAATAATCTATAAAAAGCATCGAAGAGGCTTTTTGCTCCAGAACTGGCCATGTCCCTGGCCAAGCTATTCCGTATAGTTACAACATTGCCATCAACCCAGCAACATGAAAAAGTGCCCAGTTTCTGCACACAAGTAGGACAAATCTAACTCTGCCATTTACTACCCTATCAGTCTACCCTCAATTATTAGCCAAGTGGCGGAAGGGGCCATCAGAGCTGTATACTGTAATCAAATGGCACTTGATCAAGGGTAGCCAGTCACCGTCAGTTTGGGTTCTGCCAGGGCTACTCAGCTCTTAACACCATTGGTTTAATTGCTGATGGCTATCACCTTCAATCTTCCCCTCACCTTTGGAATTCAGGTTTTTGCTGACCAAGATTATAATCAATGTTGGATCTCAGTATTCCTGGCAGATCATAAATGAAGTCAGTGCTCCTTGATTGTACTATCCATGACACCATCCAACACTCTTAAAATGATCAAAAGTAAATTGATGGATTTTGGTTAGATGGGATTTGTCCTAGTTTTCATAGGTAGTACATATCTGTGGAATTACCAGGTGGATCTTAGTGCTGTGACTGTACTGAAATAGCTTGGCTGAAGGTTAGACAGTTCTAGATTCTTCAGCTTTACAGCTCTGATGGTGTCAGGGCCATAGTTTTTGTGATGTCCAGCACTGTCAGCATGCAGTGAATCAAAATGGGACAAAACTAACATCTTTGATAGTGAGATAACAAGGTGTAGAGCTGGATGAACACAGCAGGCCAAGCAGCATCAGAGGAGCAGGAAGGCTGACGTTTCGGGCCTGGACTCTTCTTCAGAAATGAAGAAAGGTCTAGGCCCAAAACGTCAGCCTTCCTGCTTGGCCTGCTGTGTTCATCCAGCTCTACACCTTGTTATCTCA